AAAAAAAAAAAAAAACGGGGAGAAACTTAAACATGAGCTTAGCAGAGACCTTACTCGGGAGACTGCTTGGGAATCTGTAATGCGTATCAGATGTGGAAAAGGTTTTAGATTTGTATCCACAGCTGCATGTTTATCATCTTCCTATATATTTCCTTACCTTGTTAGTTTATTGAACCTAACTCTCATGACACAATGTTTTTCAGGGGTGCGTTTCATAACATATCAGGGTGCTAAGGTCCACAGATTTGTTAGCTCTTCCAGCTGTTGATGCTGATAAAGCTTTTGCTATGCAACTGTCTCTAGTGGAGACCCTAATGACCACGCAGACTGTATACTTTCAAGTGGCGTTGCTGTATCCTTTCCTGTGAACTTGCTTATGCACTGCTCTCCATATCTTCATTTCATTGAGAAAGTCGACTAGTGCATTACAAATGATAACTTAACAAAATGTCCAAGGAGCACCTTTCTCAAGGTTTCCTTTGCTCTTAGTTTGGTGATAGCTAAATCCATGAATATGGTTTGTCAGTAGAGAGTAGGACTGTAACCCTCATCGTGCTTTAGAATATTTTATTTTCACTTATGAGAGATCCGAAACACCTTTTTTCTTGTCAAATCACCTCCTGCATATGATGTTTGATGCCGCCTTTTGTCATTGGGCTTTTATTGTTCACAATATTATTTACGAGTGTGGTTCTTGTGTCCTTAACCACCATCAGATATACACCATCTTCTGGTGAAAGACGTATCAGGGTGCATACGGCAGCTGCACCTATGGTCACAGATCTTGGTGAGATGTATCGTCAAGCAGATACTGGTGCCATTGTGTCAATGCTGGCTAGAATCGGTTTGTACTAGATTGCTGCTCTTCCCTCCATAAATGTCAATATACATGACTGAGATCACTTTATTACTAATAACCGTTATCCTGCAGCTGTTGAAAACTCACTGTCTGATAAGCTGGACAGTGTCCGGCAACAATTACAGTTAAAGCTTCCGAGAAGTTTGAAGGAATACCGGAACCTATATGTTGTACAACATCGCATAGGCGGGAGACTGATATACCCAGAATCATTAAGATACTTGCCATTATACATCCTGGCCTTATGCAAATCCCTTGCTCTGCGTGGTGGTTATGCTGATGTCTCTCTTGATGAACGCTGGGCTGCTGGTTTCAGTATGATGATACTGCCTGCAAGAAGGCTGCTTGATGAAGTAGTGACAATGGTATGCAGTATTTCCTTGCAACTAAGCTGATTAAGTTCCTTTTAATCAGAGCTACTTGTAGACTTGTGATTTTGAAACTATGTAAATCAACTAGGGAGAATAAAGATAACGCCAGTTCCGTTTGTTTGGATGGAAAGAACCAGTGTAGTTAGTCTGCTCAATTAGTTCGGTAGGCCTTACAATAATTTCTTATCTTAAAAATTTGCAGCCACATCTGGCATGGTATTAAGCAAAATAAATACGTAACCTCTAGATGTTTTTATTAGTTATGTTTGATATGAAGGTTTGGTAGGGCCTTAACATCAAGTTCCTTTTTCAAAATAAAGTTTCTATTATACATTGTAGAGCCAACATGCACAGTAAGCATTAATTGAAATGAGCTGATTTGATTGGTACATTCGAAGTTAACATTTTGTTTAATTCAGCATATTCATTTTTTTTCTAACTGAAATATATGTCATGATTTTCAGGAACCAGACAGGATCGATGATGGCTTCACCTTCCTAGTATGGTTGGGTAGAATGCTCCAGCCTGAGCTCATGAACGACATTCTTGGAGTCAGCCTCTCAAACTTCCCTGATCTATCAAAGGTACCCTTCTTTACTCTGGTGAACAATATAATCCTGACTTTGGGACTTAATCCCTCGGATCCAAAAAAGTGTCGGGGTTTTAGTTCAAATTTGACCACGACACTTATTTTGGATCCGAGGGAGTACTTTATTCCCCTTTCTGCCCTTATATTGTTTTCCCGCTCTCTCAAACAAAACTCAAATAAATTGACAGTGTATCATGACATTTCTCTTTTTTAGTCTGTTCTTAAAAATACCTTTGATATCCTCTGGGATGAGAATCCAGTATTTTTAGTAGATGAAAAACTCACTTTTAACATGTAATGCAATACCACGTTAGATTCTTGCAGATTCAGTTGAGAGAATGTGACAACAATCACTCGAGAAACTTCATGGCAGTACTAAGAACCCTAAGGGAGAGGGATTCTTCATGTTACCAGTTGCCCCGCGTGGTACGGCAAGGTGAGCAGCCAAGAGAAGGCTTCCTACTTCTGTCCAATCTCGTCGAGGATCAGATGGCTGAAACAAGCAGTTACATGGACTGGATACTCCAAATTCACCGCCAAACAGAGCTCGTGATGATGTAAGGTGGATGTTCCAGAAATTTTTGTTTTTGTGTAAACTGCTGCAGATTCGGTTGCTGTGCCAGTCCCCGGTCACCCTCTTAACCATTGGAACAAAATGGCGAGCCAGCCGTGCTCTACTACATTTGTCATCCTGTTAGCAGCAGCGCTCTCGCTGGCGGCGAGTAATACAAACTTTATTGTTAATATATTTAGTTCTTGTGATTATTTTCCGTGACGAGAAAAGGGTACAGCTGTTGTATCAGAATAAGTAGGCAGCACCTCTGGTAAATTGTACAATCGTGTGGAGTCTTTGGTAGGGGTTTGTACACATTTGTATCGTCGACAATTTTAGTTGCAAAGATTGTGTAAACTCTTGTTTGACTGCTGGTACTGATCTGGATCCAAGATGTCATTTACACGCATGCATGCCTTCCAAGACCAGTTTTCATGATAGTTATATATAATCTTGTATACCAAACAACAGATTACAATATTGGTAGTGCCACAATATCATAATTTAAGCTATAATTTCATAAATAAGTCACCATGATATAACTTAAGCCATAATCTCATAATTTAAGGCATAATCTCATAAATAAGTCGACAACATAGCATATGAAAGTTTCTCCAGAGACTGAATAGCAGCATCAAAGTTTGTCAAGAGAGTGATGGTCTACATGCCTACACCGGGGATGCGAATAAAATCTCGAGATCAACGCCATAGTTTGGCGCGTCAATGGTGTAGATGAGCTTGGGCTCGGGCTGTGGCTCTGGCTCGAGCGGTGGCTGTGGCTCCGGTTGGAGCGGTGGCTGTGGCTCCGGTTGGAGCGGTGGCTGGGGCTGTAGCTGTAGCTGAAGGTGCTGTGCCTGTGGCTGAAAGATGTAGTAGATGAAGTACACCACCAGCTGCATCAACATAACCGCAACTCCAACAGTGCTCAGTATCTGCAAGTCATGTAATAATGATGTTGACTGATGGAACATTACAAACACAAAGGATATGTGTTGAGGAGTACTAGATGATAGAGTTTCTATTTTTACCGCGATGGGTAGGTCCGGTGGTGTCGAGAGAAATGCAAACACGGCTGAGGACAAGGCGTTGGCGAGGCCGAGCAGTATCTCGAACACAGGGTCCATGTTGTCCACGTCCCCGCTCCTTACCACTTGCACCTACAAAATGATGGGAATTCTTGATGTGGCATAATCTACACTCACTCAATCAAATCTGTACTTGTTCAGATTGACTTGGTGAAAAACATAAATGATAACCTTAATCACCATGATGACAAATTTCAGGTAACAATGTAAAAGGGGTTGATTAGAGCCTACTTTTTTTTATTTGGAAGTACAAACACTATCATTCAGAACAAATTCCAAATATGATGGGTAATCCACACACTATATATATGATGCATGGAAAGATTTCAAACCAAGATTTCCTTATCCGCTGTATTGATGTAATTTGCCTTACAAATTATTTATGCCAATTCATGTGGTGTCCAAAAGAGGGCAAATTTTTACTCCTTGAACTCAATGCACATCCAAATGTAGAGATGGAGCCATTTTGTACCTACCACATCAAAGCCAATGGAGAAGTAGTTCAAGGAGGTGGCGACCAGGGCGACAGTGGCGATGAGGCTAGGGACAGCCACCTTGGTTATGGCGAGGCATCCGCTGACAATGGAGATGATAACGACCAGGGTGAGGAGGTAGACAGTGTGGAGGCGCACCGCCCCTGCGGCGAACCAGATGAATACGGCGATGTACCCCAGCTGAAACACCGCGGAGGCGATGTTGACAGTCATGGAGACGGCGCCATCAGGGAAGGCCGGGAGGCCGTAGAGGATGCAGGCCACACTACTGAATAGTGTGGCGACGTGGCCGTACGCGGTGCGGTTGCCGACTGCATTCTCCTGCCACATTCGGAGCACGAAGCTGACTCTGCAAGGATTGTATAATCTCTGTTGAGCGTAAAACAAACAATCTACGGCTGTATTAACATCTGTATTTGCCACATGCATGTCATAGAAAAAGAAAAACTTAGATTTCTTGTTAGGAATGAGCTTGCATTCATTACTGAAGTGCGGTATGACACAATGAGCTGCATCAGGGAATTCAGATAGATAATATAACCAGTTCTATCAACCAGAGCAGTGTAGCATTGATAATAATATAACTAGTTGTATCAAGCAGAGCAGTGAACCATATATATGAAGTGTGGGTCATTTCTACTGTAATTAGGACTTAGGAGACAAGACTCTGATGCATTTATATATACTGACAGTGAGATTATACTAGTACATGAAAACAGGCCAGGCTATGTGTGGTGCCTCTGGGCGCGCCTGATGCTGTGGCCGCCGCATGCAGCTACGAATGCATGGCACAACCACAAAAAAGACCCGACTTGTCGAAAAGACGGCAGCTTGGGCACAGCGGCGATCCGCCCGGCCACTCGACGGCGCCGGCGCGGCAAACGGAATAAAAAAAGGACCCGGCTTGTCCAAGGTACGCGTACGCGTGCACCGGCGAATCCACGGTGGCGGCCAAGCAAGATCCGGCCGGGTTCTGCCTCGCCGCCGCATCGAAATCGAACACTCTACGCCGGGAGCTGCATTGCATGCATCCGCACGCGCGCCGATGCCATGGAAATGCCACCAAAAACAACCAACAAGAGAAAAAAGGCGACGCCTTGAGGAATCGCGGTCGCGGTCTGGCGGACCGACGGTCTCGCGGCGGCGCGGGACGGCACGGCACGACGGCGCATGGCAACCAAAAAAATGGCCTGCCTTGTCGGAACTACGTACGCGTAGTGCTACGGCCAAGCTAGATCTGGCCGGTCGCTGCCGCATCGACGCAAGGAGCGAGAGAAAAATATGTACGCGTACAGAACAGAGAGGCAGAGACACGAGCAGAGCATGGAAAACCTACATCGGAGCAACCATCAAGGCACACGCAGCCACGGGCGCCGGTCAGCACCACCCGCCGGCCCATCCCCGCCACCTTGGCGCTGCCGGCGACCACCTTCGCCGTGGCGGCCGAAGGAATCACGTACGAAGGCATGCCGGCCGGCTCGCTGCTTGCACTCGGCGCTGGTCTCCCGACGGCAGGGGAGGAGTTGGTAAAGATGCTGCAACAATGGGAGATGCTGCAAAAGAGCGGGCTCCACCTTCCTTTTGGATGGGCCATGGGTGTCAGAGTCCGACGTGTCTCGTATCCGAACTCCCGCAAAGCCCCCATGTTTGGTTCCAGTTTGCGATAAAAACATGGTCCGGACCGCTCGGCGGACCGATACAGGTCCGCATTGGATGACTTCCGTGATCCGGAACGCTTGGTCCAGACGTATGCGAGCGGCTTGAAAGTTGGCATTGGGGATGCCCTTACTTGCGTGCATTGCGCATTTGTGTACTCTTGTTGTATCCGTATATGTGTTCCCGCTATACCCTTGTCTTGGACAGGGACATTTCTTTTTGCTGAGAAACGCATTACAGATTACTAACACATACACTCATTTATGCTTGCACACATTGATACGTCCATTTTACATCATGTTTTCTTACTGTTATTTATAATGTTTTTATTCATAATAATGAGTTTTGGAGTAATTTTAATGCCTTTTCTCTCATAATTTGCAAGGTACACACCAAGAGGGAGAATTCTGGCAGCTGGAAATCTTGACCTGGAAAAGCTACATCAGGCCACCTATTCTGCACAACTCCAAACAAGCTGAAACTTCACGGAGATTTTCTTATGGATTATTTAAGAATTATTGGATCAAATAACTACCAGAGGGGGCCCACCAGGTTGGCACAACCCACCTGGGCGCGCCAGGGAGCCCAGGCGCGCCCTGGTGGGTTGTGCCCTCCTCGGCCCACCTCCGGTGCCCATCTTTTGGTATATAAGTCATTTTGACCTAGAAAAAAAAGGAGAGGACTTTCGGGATGAAGCGCCGTCGCCTCGAGGCGGAACTTGGGCAGGAGCACTTTTGCCCTCCGACGGAGCGATTCCGCCGGGGGAACTTCCCTCCCGGAGGGGGAAATCATCATCATCATCACCAACAACTCTCCCATCTTGGGGAGGGCAATCTCCATCAACATCTTCAACAACACCATCTCTTCTCAAACCCTAGTTCATCTCTTGTGTTCAATCTTGTTACCGGAACTATAGATTGGTACTTGTGGGTGACTAGTAGTGTTGTTTACATCTTGTAGTTGATTACTATATGGTTTATTTGGTGAAAGATTGCATGTTCAGATCCAATATGCTATTTAATACCCCTCTGATCATGAGCATGCTTATCATTTCTGAGTAGTTACCTTTGTTCTTGAGGTCACGGGAGAAATCATGTTGCAAGTAATCATGTCAATTTGATGTGTTCGATATTTTGATAGTATGTATGGTGTGATTCCCTTAGTGGTGTCATGTGAACGTCGACTACATGACACTTCACCATATTTGGGCCTAAGGGAATGCATTGTGGAGTAGCAATTAGATGATGGGTTGAGAGAGTGATAGAAACTTAAACCCCAGTTTATGCGCTATTCCGTAAGGGACCGATTGGATCCAAAAGTTTAATGCTATGGTTAAAATTTATTCTTAATACTTTTTTCGTAGTTGCGGATGCTTGCGGGAGGGTTAATCATAAGTTGGAGGTTTGTTCAAGTAAGAACAACACCTAAGCACCGGTCCACCCACATATCAAATTATCAAAGTACTGAACACAAATTAAACCAACATGATGAAAGTGACTAGATGAAATTCCCGTGTACCCTCAAGAACGCTTTGCTTATCATAAGAGACCGTTTTGGCCTGTCCTTTGCCTCTAAAGGATTGGGATACCTTGCTGCACTTTGTTACTACTATCGTTACTTGCTCGTTACAAATTACCTTGCTATCAAACTACTCTGCTACTTACAATTTCAGCACTTGCAGACATTACCTTACTGAAAACTACTTGTCATTTCCTTCTGCTCCTCGTTGGGTTCGACACTCTTAATTACCGAAAAGAGCTACAATTGATCCCC